CTCTGAAAATAGAATGTTAAATTCTGCTATCATATCTATTTCTGGATTCATTTATTCAAAAACCACATTTTTGCCAAGGGAAGACAATTTGTTAATTTACACATTTGCCCTCTCTCTACCTCTAAAGAATCTGTGAGTTTCATGAGGGCCAGTATTATTTATCAGAGAAAAAAATAAAGAGAGAGAGATTAGAGAGAGACAGTAAACAAAAGGGAGGAAGGGAAGGAAAGAAGGAAGGAGTTAAGAGAAGGGAGGGGGGAAATTAACCAGAATTAGCACATGAGAGATGGTCAGAAAAATATCTGTAAAATGAACATTGCACTCTAGCTGTCTCTAGGAACTACACAGCTAGGTGGACAACCCCCAAAGGAGTCAGCAATTAACAGATTCCTTGAGTCTGAATCAGGGATCTTGGACCACTGGGGCTGACCATCAAGGGGCTGACTTGGGTACATCTAAGCCTCATTTATCCTGATTTCTGATGATGAAGAAGTTGGGGGCCAGTTGGTCCAAAGGCAGCCATGGCTCCTGTTTCTAGATATAGTTCTGGTGATGCACAGACCAGATCTTAAATAACACTGAGTCACTAACTAAGACAGCTATCTCCTTCAAGCTCTCCTTCAACTCTCTGTACCGAGACATCAAGGAAAAAGTCTAACCCTTCTCTAACACCGGCTCTTCTCTTTTGAAACAGAGAGACAGCAGGCCTCCGGCGCAGGCCCTTTTGTAGGTAACGGTACCTAGGTGGAATCCAATATTGTTTCTTTGCATATGTGGTATTTATATTTATGATTACCTCTTCTTTATCACAAGCCAGTTTTCTGTCTATGGTGGTAGATGTCAAGCTTCCTTTTCTGATGAATTTATATGTTTTTTTCAAGGGAGCTGACTTAAAGACAAATGGTAAGTCACTGATTATACATGGAGTGTGTATCATGGTTAAGAAGATGGTCCATCCTTGATACAGCAAGAAAACAAGACCATCAAAATGATGGATGGCTGCCACATGGAAACATATGGAGACCTCCCTGGTGGTCCCGTGGGTAAGACTTTGCCTTCCAACGTAGGGGTGTGGTTTCAACCCCCGATTGGGGAGCTAAGGCCTCAGGCCCACAGGCCTCGGGGCAAAAAAAAACAAAACATTTTAAAAAAAGCAATACTGTAACAAATTCAATAAAGACTTTAAAAATGGTCCACATTAAAAAAATCTTTAAAAAGAAGAAAAGAAACACAAGACAAAGCACATCAGTATACCTGAAAAGATAACTCAGCTCTAATGACAGACAGGAGGAAGAAACCTTTCCCAGAATTAGACAAACACTCTAAAGGCCCCACACTCATTACAGTTTTATTTGCTCTGTCACCCATTCATTCTGGTGTTGATAATCCCACATACTTTATTTTTGGATCAGAGTCTTACATTATTAAATTCAGCTGTTCACTCAATAAATAGGTATTGACCACTGAGAGGACATGTACACACCCAAAGCTACACAGGTAGTTGAGGGGTGATTGGCATTCACATCTTTGTAGCCAGAATTTGGTCCTCATTCACTCCTAACCTCTCTGCCCCACTGTCCTATGACATTCCTCAGATGTGAAGGGTCCCTCTGTGATGGGAGCAAGAACTGTGATTAGAAGTCAGGAACGAACTTCCCCAGGATCTCCTTCAAACTTTCTGGGTAACAAGACCAATCCAATCCCAATGCAACTTCGCCCACCTTCCAGTACTACACACCATCCAAATCACATGTTATGGCCAGTGCTGAAAGCTTCTCAGGACACTGTCAGATTCAGGTACCAATACTTAACCTGAAACCAATTACATGGGGTTTTTTGGTTGTTGGTGGTGGTGGGTTTTAATATTTATTTATTTGGCTGCTCCGGATCTTTAGTTGGGGCATACAAACTCTTAGCTGTGGTATGTGGGCTCTGGTTCTCTGACTAGGGATTGAACCCACACTGCATTGACAGCCCATGGTCTTAGTCACTGGACCGCCTGGGAAGTTCCACCAACTACAAGTTTTGGAAGAAGAAATTAAATTCCCCTTGAAATGGGCAATTCTGAAATTCAAACTGAAACAGTGATGTAACTAACATGTGAGCAGAAAATTCACGAGATAGAAAAATGGCTCACAAACATACGAAAAAGGGTTCAGGCTAACTTATAATTAGATGAAGTTTAAAACAACATCAAGATACAATTTCTCACCTAACAGACTGGCAAAAATTAAAAAGCATGCCAACACATTCTGTTGGCAAGGCTGCAGGGAAATGGGCATTCTGGTGTGTGGATGGCGAGAGTCCCAGTTGGCATCATCCTTCTAGAGGGAAATTGGTAATACTTAAGAAAACTTCACATGCACTTTATATTCTGACCCAGAAATTCCACTTCTAGGAAGCCACCCTGAAGATATTCCTCCAAATATACACAAAATCCATGCACACAAGTTTACTCCTTATAGTGCTGTTTGTAGCTACAAAATATTGGAAACAATTAAAAAAAAATTCCTATATAGGGGAGGGGTTGAATAGGCTGGTAGTAGCACATCTATAAATGAAGCATGATACAGCTATAAAAAAAAGAATGGGGAGGGGGGCTTCTCTAGTGGCTCAGTGGTAAAGAATCCACCTGTTAATGCAAGGGACACGGGTTCGATCCCTGGTCCGGGAAGATCTCACATGTCATAGGGAAACTAAGCCTGTATACAACTACTGAGTCCACAAGCTGCAACTACTGAAGCCCAGGTGCCTAGAGCCTGTGCTCCACTTGCAACAAGAGATTCCACGGCAACAAGAAACCTGAGCACTGCAACCAGAGAGTGGCCCCTGCTCACCACAACTGGAGAAGGCCCGCACACAGCAAGGAAGATCCCGTGCAACAATAAATAAATCTTAAAAAAAAAATAAAAAGGAATGGTAGTGGGATGCTAACAGCAGGGGAAGCTGATTAGTAGTGTAGGCTGCAGCTCCTGCTGCTGCTCAGTCGCTTCAGTCGTGTCCAACCCTGTGCGGCCCCGTAGACAGCAGCCCATCAGGCTCCCCCGACACCCTGGGATCCTCCAGGCAAGAACACTGGAGTGGGTTGCCATTTCTTTCTCCAAGTGTAGGGCTAGGCAATCCTTAAAATGCCTGGTATAGCACAAGAATATTTTCTATTTAATCTGAGCAGATGCACAGCCAGCCAGACTTCAGACGAAAACATTCAGACTGAACCTTCAAAGTAAACCTTTAAATTCTCCTTGCATTTCAAATACAGAAAAGACAAGTAAAGGTGACGCAAATCTTGCATAAACTTTAATTATGGATAGGTTTATGACATCTCCTAAGGACCGATTTACAAGAAATTTAAGACTGTGTCCTCTCTCTCTTGAATCATGTGGCACATCCTTCTGGGAATTCTAGGAGGTTTAGACTTCTGGCCCCTCATACCTCAAGCAAAACGTAAGACAAATTCTGTCTGAAAGCTTATATGGAAAGTCATAAACATCAGCTGGCAGATCCTCATTTTGTCACAGAGCCAGCTGACCACAAAATGCTGTATCAGAATTTAGAAACACATTATGAAGCCACAGGGATGTGTATTGACAAATGCCTCATGCCTGGACAAGCTATCCTCCCTCTTTTTAATCTTAAAATTCAGTGCAGTAGCATCAGCCTTCTTTCCATCAGTGGGTCTTACCACTGATGTCCACATACTGAACGAGAAATGAAGCTCTATTTGGTCCCATATTTCCTAAGATCGCTTTCACACTTGTCACTACTCTGACTAGGAGCCCAGGAGAGAAATAAGTGCAGAGTTTTGGAAAAAGAGCCAGAGACCATGGTGTGCACCAGAGAGAAGCTTCTGGGTGAATATCTCCCAACCGGGCAGTGTCAACAGCGCTGGCTCTGTGTGAGGCTCAGAGAGAGCTTCAAGGGTGACATTCACGATCTTCCAGAATCACCAGCACCATGAATTCTTGATGACCAATAATCTCCTCTCCAGCTTGATAAATCTGTCATTTCAAGAACTGTTAAATGCATGGAAACACAGGACATATGGCATTTTGGTGGGGGGAGGGCATTCACTCAACAGAAAACACTTGAGATCAATTCAAGTTGTCGTGTAACAGTCCATTCCTATGGATGTTCTACATGTTAACTATGAGCTTGTTAAAGAACATGTGGATTGTTTCCAGTTTGGGGTCATTACAAATAAAGCTGTTATCAACATTCATGTATAGGTTTTAGTGTGGATACACGTTTTCATCTACCTGGGACAAATAAATGCCCAGGAGTGCCATTACTGGCTTGTATGGTAAACGTGTGCTTGAATTTCAAAGTGCCCAACTATTTTCCAGATTGGCTGCACCATTTTATATTCCTACCAGCATGCATGAGAGAAGAAAATTGAAGCTTCTGGATAGGAACTGGTATCCTCATTTGGACAGGAATTCTAATCCAATGACACAGTCTGACATATTAGAAAAGCACTACAATTTTCCCACAATACTTGGTCTTCCTAATCTATTTCTACAACATAGAGAAAAGTCTGTTCTTTAGATCAGCTCAGGCAAATTATATACCTCACGTGGGCTTTTGACTTTCAACTAAAATTAAACTTATGCATTTGCTTTAAAAGATTTAAAACTGACATTCAGCTCAGAAGTACGACTTTCTTCCAAAGGAAAAATAGTAGCCCATAATGAAGGCTAGTATGTACAACCAGCAGCCAATTAGCTTTGACTGTAAATTATTGTTGCTGTTGTTTAGTTGCTCAGTCATGTCCGACTCTTTGCAATCCCATGGACTGTAGCCCACCAGGTTTCTCTGTCCATGGGATTTCCCAGGCAAGAATACTGGAATGGGTTACCATTTCCTCCTCCAGGGGATCTTCTTAACCCAGGGATGGATTGCATCTCTGGGTCATCTCTTGAGTTGGCAGGCGGATTCCTTACCACTGAGCCACCAAGAAAGCGCTTGAATATAAATAATGACGCGTAACAACTCACCTCTGGATTGTGAACTTGAGCTCCTCAGACAACACTGTGGCTTCTTCCAGGAAGGCAATCTCTGCTCTGAGGATGGGACATATCACAGGAAGAGAATTCATGGTGAGAACAATCTTTGTTGTAAGATGTCAGTGACCTTCACAGTCTTCAACAGCTAAGCAGGAGGATGAAGGAAGGAAAAAGAAAGATGCTGTGCTGTATCAAAAAGCAGTTTACAAATGAGGGTGAGAAATCTGAGTTACTTTTCATTAGATGTCATATATATGTGAAAATAATTTGTTCCGTAACTTGCAAACACATGACTCTCCACAGTACATAAGTAATGCAGCTTCATCCTTGGAGAAAGCCTACATCCTACAGAGTGTAAGGTGGAATTTGCATGAGCGCATACTTTGCATATGGCTGAAATGTATTCTCTTCTCTCTCTCAGAGCTCATTTTCTGAGAACAGCCAGGACCCTGAACCCACACATCACTTCTTTTTAAATCTCATGCCCCTTCATCTTTGGGTAAATATGCCTTGGGGTCCAGGTCTCTGTCGACTTAGACTCTCAGCCCCTGGACCTCAGAGCTGGGATCCGTTAAAGTCCAACTAGTAAAAGGGTTTGGTCAAAGTCAGTCACAGAAATTAATTCAAGGGCTCTCCTGAGACACACAACGAAGGGAAACTCGTTCCAAGGAGGAAATCTGATGCTAATGCAAGAAGCTGGGAGACCAGTACCCAGGGGCTACCTGAGCTATCCACACGAGCCCACACGAGAAGGGAGAGAAACCCACCCAGATCATGCACCCTGCTCACAAGTTGAGAGATGGCCTCCCCAAGGCTAAGGGTCCTCTGTCCTGCAACCTTAAATCTTCCCCTGAAGCTCTGCCCTGAAACCAACACTTGCATCTCATTGAGCAGATTGCAGTCATGTGACCACTCCTTTCTGCAAGGGTGTCTGAGAAATACAGTGTTTTATTCTAAGCTGGGCTTGTGTGTGTGTGTGTGTGTGTGGCGGGGGTGGGGCGGGGGGTGCACTCAGTCGTGTCCCACTCTTTGGGACTCTATGGACTTGTAGCCCACGGGGCTCCTCTGTCCATGGGATTTCCCAGGCAAGAATACTGGAGTGCGTTGTCATTTCCTTCTCCAGGGGATCTTCCCCACCCAGGGACTGAACCTCTTGGGTCTCCTCCATTAGAAGGCAGATTCTTTAGCACTAGCTGCCACCTGGGAAGCTGGGCATACTGAGAGGCAAACACTATGCGGGTGCTATAAGTAAAGAAGAGGGGAAGATGGTTACAGGTAAAGTAACTGTTGGGCCTTCCTGGTGGCTCAGCAGTGAAGAATCTGCTTGTAAAGCAGGAGACCACCTGCAATGCAGGAGAGGAATGTTCAATCCCCGAGTGAGAAAGATTCCCTGGAGAAGAAAATGGCAACCCACTTGAGTATTCTTGGGAAATTATTCTGGGAAATTAACAAACAGCCCTACTAGGATGTAATCTAAGAGCCTTACTAGCTTAAAATGGCTCCCTATTAGGAGCAGGGAGAAAGGGAGGACAATTTTGCTTTTCATTATATGCCTTTCTGGGTAACTGATGTTTGACACTAAATAGATCGTATGTAGTCCCATGAGCTGAGAGAACTTAGCAATACTTCCATTCAATGTGCAGTTTCAACATGCAGTTTCCTCCCTCTTGCCCCCGTTTGATAATTACATTTGACATATATGTTCTAGTTACCCAGCAATTTTCTCTGATCTGGACTCCTGGTCAACTTAAAATAGAATTTCTCAAAGTGTTCCTTTTTTTCTATACAGTCTCCTTGAATAAAAATATCTATCTGCAGTGGAAATGTGTGTGTGGTGGGGAGGGGCGGTAGCATTAGAATAGTGATGAAGAAATAACTTTCTCAAGATGAGGACTCTTGTCACAGAGTGTTCGCTGGCCCGGTTGTGGAGTGACTCTTTCAAATAGCAGATCTTAGAAGACTATTTCACCTGATCTTGGCACCTTATTTTATTTTTTTCATGTAAGGGCCTGCTTAATTGAGGATAAATTTCAGGGACACTATACAGTCCATTTTGCTAAAACAGCTTACAAAAATCCTTTCTCTTCATATGAGGATGTCAATTTCAAGTCTGCAAGTATGGAGTCAAAATTACTCCTGAAAAGTACCCTACATTGCCCATAAAAAACAGAATGATCTCACCTCTTAGTAAATTCAAAATAGCCAGCTTTTTCTCAAGTGTTGTGTCAGACTGTTGTTTCTTTGGCCCATCTGTATATGAACCTGATTTTCAGCACATTAAAAACAAAATAAAAATGATACACATACACACACATGTAACACGTGCACACACACACACACAGACTGAAACCCGTTTCAAGACTAGACTGACAGAAGGAGAATTTCAAGTTTCAAAGAGAGTGGATTTCTCTTGAATTTCAACTGTGCATAAGAACTTCTGAAAAGCAAATGTAACTTTTTAACATCAGTTGGCAGTGTGTCTGTGTTTCTGTCATAGTGCTTCAAGCCCAGCTTAAAGAGTCTCAGGAAAGAGAAAAAAAGATTCCCATTAAGTTGAATTTGGCTTTTTGGCCATCAGGTAGCACAGGGGCTGGAGTGGAACCTGGGCCCGGAAGCAAGACTCAGAGATGCCCGGCCCCACCGACAGCTTCACTCATGTGGTCCTGCGGACCCTTCACTCCAGGGCAGGAGGCAAGAAACACACATTTTCGCTTTTTGTCCTCCTGCATCCCAGGACCCTGGCAGAAGTTGTGCCTGACCCAGAGGGGCTAAGACCTGGCTCCTAGCTGGTCCCTAGAGCCATGAAGCCAATGCTGAGCAAGAAAGGGTGCTTGATGCCAGCTATGCCTGGAGCTTGAAGATCACTCTCCCTGCTCCACGCTGCCTAACCCACACGGTGACCTCAGCCCCAAGGTGCAGTATGAAAATAACAATGGTGTATCACCAGCTGGTCGGCTAGCCAGGGCTCCAGGCTTTGGGCTGTGTCGGAGGTTCCGTGATTCTACTCCAAGAGGCAGCGCATTCCCTTTGTGGACAGGGAACTGGGGTGAAATGTTTCATGTATGGGACCCCTGGGAAGCCCGGTTCTGTTGCAGCAGCCACCAGCGTCTTTGGGCCCGACCAGTTCCTACCTGCAACTCCTAAATCACATCGGACCAAATCTGGGGTGTCAGGAGGAGTCCCCGAATTCTGCCAAGCTCAGGTTTGAAGTAGCTGAGTCGTGATCCTCGGTGATCCAAGAGCTGCTCTAGCACCTGGGGTTGGACGCAAGGGGTGCAAAAAGCCAGGCTCTCCCCCTGTGCTCCGCACCCCCAGTTTGACAAGCTAAGGGTGCAGATAGGGGGTGGGGGTGCTAGATGAGACCCCTAAGCTTTGCGGAAAGGGATTTCACATAACCGGACCCCACTTCCCGGATCTTAAGTGCCAAAATGTGTTCAATGTGAGGTGGGGGTAGACCCCGGGGAAACCCAAGTAGGGTACAGTTAAACGCGCTCCCTCGGCCACGCCCCCTCCTCACTTCAGGGAACAGAACATGGTCCGATTCCAGGTGCATCAGATGGTTTCAGGTTGAAGATCCTAGAAGGACCAAATTTGCCCCCATTTCCCACCTGCCTGCCCCAGGGTTTGCCCACCCAGGGAACTGGTCCCACAGAGGCGGAGCGCTGCTGGTGGCGTCAGCGCCCTCTAGGTTTCCTCAACAAATTCCAAGTTCTAGAGACAGACGCCTCCGGCGCCCCCTTACCTTCGTCCCTGCAGTGCACCCCGCACAGCCCCGGGGCCCTATGTTTGGAGCGCATCCTGCAGCCCTCGGGTTCACGCCACCGGCCAGCGGCTTCCCCTGACCCCGAATCGACACGGGCAGCGGAACTGGGCGGGTCCGGCTAGTTCTCCGAAGGTCAAGCCGGATCCCCGCTGAGTGGTCCTAGCCCCGGCGGCTGTGGTCCTGGCTGCTGTAGGCTCCGGGAACCCTCAACTTTTCTCCACCTTCTGGGGCCTCAGGCGCTCTGAGATCCGTCAGGGTTTCAGCTCCGCCCCACCACGCCCCCGCCCCAGTCCCGCCCCCTCTGGCCACGCCCCCGGCCACACCCACGAGTGCTCAGTCCTGGACCCGCTCCATCCGAGGTGCAAGTTGAAAGTGCGCGCCCACCCGCAGGCGAGCTTCCCTCTAGGGCCCTTTGGGAGAGAAAGGGAAGGGGAGAGAGGACGCTCAGAAGTTCTCTTTTCTGCTGCTAAACCCTACTTTATTCATCCCTTTGCCTTACCTTTCTGAGGCATAGATAGCCCAGATGAGTTTTGATCCGGTTCTCCAAGTCACTGCGGGAGAGGGAAACTGGGGAGGATGGTGGACATGGCCTCGAGATGTTCAGATGTCTGGAATTAGAACGGGGTAAAAACATACCTCTGTGTGTGTGTGTGTGTGTAAAAGCACGCAATTCTATGTGGCTACACAGCCCTGGGAAATCGTGGCTTCCTCGGGAAGGGGGCTGGACGGTTGAGATTGGAGAGAAAGGAATTCTACGTGGCCTGGAGAAGAGAGTAGCTTTTCAACCAAAAAGGTTAATTGTAAAATACTGATTCTTATAGTTCTAGTTGCGAGCAGAGGATTAATTTTTAAATAAATTATGGTAATTCTCCAGTTTTCCACTTCATACTGCTAATTCCCAGTGCATCCCTCTCCCAGCGCCTACCCATTCACTGGCAACCACACGTCTATTCTCCATCTTTGAGTCTGTCTCTTTTTCACAAATATGTTCCTTTGTGTCATATTTTAGATTCCATGTTTAAGGGATATTATGTGATATTTGTCTGATTTACTTCACTTAGTATGATCATCTCTAGCTGCATCCATGTTGCTGAAAATGGCATTATTTCATTCTTTTTATGGCTGTATAATATTCCATTGTGTGTATATATATATATATATATATTATACATGCCACATTTTCTCTGTCTTTCCATCTGTTAATGCACATTTAGGTAGTTTCCACGTCTCAGCTGTTGTAATAGTGCTGCTGTGAACATAGGAGTGCATATATTTTTTTGAATTATAGTCTTTGGAACATGTTTAAAATCATATTAGCTATTTAAGCCTCTGAAAATCACTGGGAAATGGGAAATAAAACGTCTTCCATTATTTCAGACTGAGGGATTGGCTCTTTGACTTTCCCTCCTGTCAGGAAATATAATTTTTAAGAAGCCAGAAAAAATGTGCCTTTCTCTCTTACTCCCTGATCTACTTTCATTTTGCAGGTTCATGATTTACTATTCTCTATATTTGCTATTTCTTTCCTTTATACATTGAATGTCACCCTCCCAGCTGGAAGGTCAAATTCAGATTCTGTGTTAAAATGCAATGAGCTTGGACTTCCCTGGTGGTCCAGTGGTTAAGAATCTGCATGCCAATGCAGGGAACACAGGTTCAATCCCTGGTCCGGGAAGATCCCATGTGCCACAGGGCAACTAAGCCCATGCGCTACGACTACTGAGCCCGTGCGCCCTGGAGTCCACGGACCACAGCAACAGTCTCAACTAGAGAATAGCCCTTGCTGGCCACAACCAGAGAATAGGCCCTGCTGGCCACAACTAGAGAAAGCTGGCACACAGCAACAAAGACCCAGTGCAGCCAAAAATAATTAACTAAAAAAAATTTTTTTTAATGCATTGAACTTATAATCAGGGAGGTCTCAGTCTGTCCAGTGTCACATAGTGACTCTCCCTCCTGTGTGGATAAAGGCTTCTGTCCCCCCAGTCTATCTGTCCTTCTTATGAGCTATTATAATTAATTTAATCCTTACAACAACCTTATGGGATTGCTATTTGTATGGTCTCTTTTTAAAGTTGAAGAATTTAGATACAATGTAATGCCTTTCACAGAGTATTTTCTAACAGGCAATTTACCATCTATACCTTATTTATGTTTTTGGTTATTTGCTGTTGTTCTATTTTCAACTCTTCTCTACCTTGCCTCCCATTGAAAATGTAAGCTCCTACTGGGTGGCTTTCTATCTCCTGAATTTCTATCCCTGAATTCTCAACAACTGAAACAATGCTTACACTGGAGTCAACAGTTGCCAACTGAATGAATCTTGTGTAAGTGGGTTGCCATTTCCTTCTCCAGGGGATCTTCCTGACCCAGGGATGGAACCTGGGTTTCCCACATTGCAGCCAGATTCTTTACTGTCTGAAGCACTAGGGAAGTCCCATATTTGCTAGTACCCTGACTCATTTCTGGGCTTCCCTGGTGGCTCAGGCAGTAAAGAATCTGTCTGCAGTTCATAAGACCTGGGTTTGATCCCTGGATCGGGAGGATCGCCTGGAGAAGGACATGGCAACTCACTCCAGTATTCTTGCCTGGAGAATTTCATGGACAGAGGAACCTGGTGGACTGTAGTCTATGGGGTCACAAAGAGTTGGACATGACTGAGCAACTAACACTTTCACTGTGACCCATTTTACCAATAAGGGAGTCTAGATTGAGAAATGACAAGCAAAAATCACCTACTGGTTATAAAAGTAATGATAATACTTATTCAGTACTCGCTTGAGGTACTATTCTAAAAATAGTACTTGAGTTAAGCCAGATAGATCTCATAAACACCCAGGTGCACATGCTCTTATTACACCAATTACAGGCCAGCAACTAAGATTTAAGATGGTTGAATAAGTTACCCTGAATCACACTGCTAATGCCTGGTGGAGCTGGCAATCAGACTGAAGTAGTAGGCTGCTTCCAGAGACCACATTCATGACACCCTCAAAGACTTACATGTGCTAAGAAGTGTCTGGAAATCATACATGTTCATTACACTACGTGTCCTGATTACACTAGTCTGTGTTGACTCTTCCTTTCCCAGGTCAACCTTTCTGTGTCTGGTCCTGCCAACTCGATTTTTTCTACCTTGAACAGAAAGAGACACATTGATTTATCACTTCTACTGATCAGTGCAAGAAAGCACCCCAAAGAAGTTAGCTGGGATTGCAATCTATTCTGAAGTCAGCCTCTGAGGACATCACCATCCCCAAGGGGGCAGTTCACTCAGCTTCCCAGGATAAGATGCAGGCAGCTTTTGCCTGTGCAGTCAACTTTTATGATTGATGCCCAGTCGCCCATGCCTGGTCATTAGCCTGTTCCCTCTTGATCTCTGCTTTGAAGCATAGCTCTTGGCAGGTTATCAGCAGCCTGGATGGTCTGCTCACATCCTTCCACTCTGAGTTCAACAGCAGAAAACCACCCATTTAGCCATTTAGTGTCCAAATGTGCATAATAGGGTTCAGATTTGCTTACGAATGGAATTAGTTAATTCATCACCCTGTCAGTCTTTTATCCAGTTTGCACACATTACAATCAGAGCTAATACTCAAATTCTCCCTCTTCTGAGCTGGTTTTACACGTACTAACCCATATAATTCTCCCCACAACACTATCAGGTTACTGTAATTTCAAATTCTTTTTGAAGGTGAAGGAATGTAGACACAGCTGTTTAGTTTATAAAAACCAGTCGTTAGAACACTTTGGATTCAAACTCAGGCAACTGGCCTGTAGAGTTCACATTTCAAAACATATCACTAGTCTGACCCTCTCTATAACACTAAGTCCCCTCATACGAACCTTCAAATTGCCAACTTTCAAAAATGCAAATGTGCCTTGGCTTGTCCAGTCACTTTAAGTTAGCTCATGTGTCTGGTATACATCGTTCTGTGTGTGCATCTTCTATGAGAGGTTGTGCTTTTGTGTACTTTACTGTACAGTAATGTATAGAGGACAGTAGTATAGTATCTATATAGATAGAATTGAATCCAGCAAGGAATCAGAACCTGTGACATCGACATCAGGCATCAGTGAAATCACAGCTTGCCCTCCATCTCCTATTGCTGACGATCCTTCAGCTCTACCATCTCCCACTCCCTCTCCTTCCTCCAGGGAGTAACTCTTCTTGAATGTTCACTGGATGCCAGTCCCTGATGCTAGCTGTTGTACTGTAATACTGTACTCTTCAAGGTCCTGTAACGTAAAATTAAAAGTGTTTTATTTATTTCTTGTGTTTGTTTTGTATGTATTATTTGTGTGAAAAGTAGTATAAACCTATTTATAATACTTATTATTATACCATCTTATAGTACTTTATAACACCCTATTCATTCAATACTATATAGCCAATTGTGTTAGTTGGGTAACTAGGCTAACTTTGGATGTACAAACAAGTTGGACTTATGAACGAAGTCTTGGAATGGAATTTGTTAGTATGTAGGGAACTTACTGTACTTCCTTAAAAATATGGCATCTGAGTTGGGAAAAACTCTCTTCTGTGTTTTCCTTTATTATCACATTCACTGAATTCTTCTGCCCACCAGATGTGTGGGTTTTCCCTACCAAGCAACTTTCCAGTTCTCTGTGGACACCAAGCAGATGTCTGAGTCAACTGGAAAAAAAAATGCACAACCTGAAAGTTGAGAATTATATTTTATTTGGCTGACAAAACTGAGGACTTAAGCTAAGGAGATGTCCTCTAAGATAGCTCTGGAGGACTGCTCTGAAGAGGCAAGGGAGGAATCAGGAAATATAGGAATTTTTGCAGTAAAAAACATGATGGAACATCAGAAGATTAATGCTAATTAGAGAAAAAGCAGATAATTCAAGTTAATGAATTTAGCACTTTTCTACTTATGGGAAGATGCAAGAGTCCGGGGTTGCTGGAATCATTTCTTTGATATGCAACTGAGTTATCTAGGACCAGTATCCTGCTTTTCTCCATCTTGAATCCCCTCAGGGTGCTCAGTCTGAGGTTGTTACAGTGGTAGCCACAGGATTCTTTACCGATTCTTTACTGATACGGCAGGTGACAATTTTCACCCACACCTAGGATTCAGTTCAACTCAGACACTACCTACCTGGAAATAGAATCATAACCCACATGGAAAGGGCTCAGTCCATGAAACCACTCCCACTTCAAGATGCCAATCACCAGTCCAGATTGTCACCTGTGTTTCTGACCAACCAGCTATAAAGCAGAGGTTCCCACAACCCCCTCCATAGATTCAATAGTTTTCTAGTGTGAATCATAGAACTCAAGGAAAGAGTTCACTTACCAAACTACCAGTTTCTATAAAAGGATATTGTAAGCAGAGATAGGTAAGTGCATTTTTCCCAGAGCCCCCAGAAAAAACGCAGTTGTGCAGAGACTTCAGTTTCAACCCTGTAAGACTGAGTGGGGGAACCAGCCAAGCCTACCAGACTTCTGAATTTACAAACCGTGCAATAGTAAATCCATGTTGCTTTAAGTACGTACATTCACAAGGATTTGTGACAGCAACAAGAGAGAGCAAAACCCTCCCTCATAAGATGCTGTCTTTTTTTTTTTTTTAATTTGGCTGTGCTAGGTGTTAGTTGTGGCACACAGGCTCTGTGATCTTCATTGCCATGTGTGGGGTCTTCAGTTGCAGCATGTGGGATCTAGTTCCCTGAACAGGGATTGAACCTGGGCCCCTAGCATTGGGAGCGAGGAGTCAAGTCCTAGCCACTGGGCCACCAGGGAAGTCACAAGATGATGTCTTTATTACCCAGGACAGGCTACACCAGGATGTGATAGGAAATGGTCCCATAACCTCAGGGGTTTAAAAGAATAAATCCTGTCTTTTACTCATGCCACGCGTCTGAGTGCACTGCTCGACGGCACTGACCTCCTGCAGGAACCCAGGCTCACAGAGCAGCTGTGAGCTGGCTGAATATGACAGAGAGAGTATGGCAGAGAGAATATGACAGAGAGAATGTGACAGAGAGAATACAACAGAAAGAATGTGACAGAGTACATACTGGTCATTAGAAACTCCCATGCAGAAGGGATACATGTCACTTCCACTTACATTCCTTTGACCAGCACAAGTTATATGACCATGCCTAAATCCAAAAAGACTGGAGAGTGCTTCAAAAGAGAGAAAGAGAAGGCTTCCCAGGTGGAGCTAGTGGTAAAGAATCTGACTGTCAATGCAGGAGTCACAGGAGATGCGGGTTGGATCCCTGGATCTGGAAGATCCCCTGGAGTAGGAAATGGCAACCCACTCCAGTATTCTTGTGTGGAACATTGCATGAACAGAGGAACCTGGAGAGCCCACTGGGCCCCAAAGAGTCAGATATGCCTGAGTGACTGAGCATGCACATACACTAAACTTGGTGGAAGTTCTTTAAATGTTACTGTTGTTCAGTCACTAAGTTGTGTCCAACTCTGAAAAATGAAACCACTCCCACTTCAAGATGCCAATCACCAGTCCAGATTGTCACCTGTGTTTCTGACCAACCAGCTATAAAGCAGAGGTTCCCACAACCCCCTCCATAGATTCAATAGTTTTCTAGTGTGAATCATAGAACTCAAGGAAAGAGTTCACTTACCAAACTACCAGTTTCTATAAAAGGATATTGTAAGCAGAGATAGGTAAGTGCATTTTTCCCAGAGCCCCCAGAAAAAACGCAGTTGTGCAGAGACTTCAGTTTCAACCCTGTAAGACTGAGTGGGGGAACCAGCCAAGCCTACCAGACTTCTGAATTTACAAACCGTGCAATAGTAAATCCATGTTGCTTTAAGTACGTACATTCACAAGGATTTGTGACAGCAACAAGAGAGAGCAAAACCCTCCCTCATAAGATGCTGTCTTTTTTTTTTTTTTAATTTGGCTGTGCTAGGTGTTAGTTGTGGCACACAGGCTCTGTGATCTTCATTGCCATGTGTGGGGTCTTCAGTTGCAGCATGTGGGATCTAGTTCCCTGAACAGGGATTGAACCTGGGCCCCTAGCATTGGGAGCGAGGAGTCAAGTCCTAGCCACTGGGCCACCAGGGAAGTCACAAGATGATGTCTTTATTACCCAGGACAGGCTACACCAGGATGTGATAGGAAATGGTCCCATAACCTCAGGGGTTTAAAAGAATAAATCCTGTCTTTTACTCATGCCACGCGTCTGAGTGCACTGCTCGACGGCACTGACCTCCTGCAGGAACCCAGGCTCACAGAGCAGCTGTGAGCTGGCTGAATATGACAGAGAGAGTATGGCAGAGAGAATGTGACAGAGTACATACTGGTCATTAGAAACTCCCATGCAGAAGGGATACGTGTCACTTCCACTTACATTCCTTTGACCAGCACAAGTTATATGACCATGCCTAAATCCAAAAAGACTGGAGAGTGCTTCAGAAGAGAGAAAGAGAAGGCTTCCCAGGTGGAGCTAGTGGTAAAGAATCTGACTGTCAATGCAGGAGTCACAGGAGATGCGGGTTTGATCCCTGGATCTGGAAGATCCCCTGGGGTAGGAAATGGCAACCCACTCCAGTATTCTTGTGTGGAACATTGCATGAACAGAGGAACCTGGAGAGCCCACTGGGCCCCAAAGAGTCAGATATGCCTGAGTGACTGAGCATGCACATACACTAAACTTGGTGGAAGTTCTTTAAATGTTACTGTTGTTCAGTCACTAAGTTGTGTCCAACTCTGAAAAACAGAGGGAGTCACCATATTTGAGAAGAGCCCCAATTATGCCTCCCTTCTCTTTGTCAGCTTTAGATGAAGGCAGAGTCCAGATGGGAGTGATATGTGCAGTTTTGATATTTATGCCCAGATAATAATCTTTGGTGATGCTGCACACATACTAAGGGGGCACATTCTGGTTTGCTTTTTCAATATTGAAGTGAGTTGTTTTCCTTAAATTCAGAGAATATAGACTCTACAAATGTTTATTAATTTCACTCTGCATTTGTTGCATAACAAGAGGAAAGTGGAAACATATTTTCTTATCCCAACTGTAATTATCCTTCCTGCATCACTGTTTTGGTAGAAATAATAGGCACTATCTTGGATAAAGCATTTCAAGCTGAGTTTTTAAGTTAAATGGAAGTCAGGATCAGGAAGGCCCAAGAAGTCAAAATCTGGGAGTCAAATGCAAACTGTTTAGGATTATTGTCTCTTCTTGCAGAATTGACCCTTTTACTGTCACATCCCTCCTTATCTCAATAATGTCTCTTGTTGTGAAGTCTACTTGTTGTTCCTTCATTCAGTCTTGTCTGACTGTTTGCGACCCCATGGACTGCAGCATCCAAAGCTTCTCTGTCCTTCACCATCTCCCGGAGCTTACTCAAACTCATGTCCACTGAGTTGGTGATGCCATCCAAACATCGTGTCCTCAGTCGTCCCCTTCTCCTCCTGCCTTCAATCTTTCCCAGCATCAGGGGCTTTTCTAGTGAGTCAATTCTTCACATCAGGTGGCCAAAGCACTGGAGCTTCAGCTTTAGCAACAGTCCTTCTAATGAATATTCAGGATTGATTTCCTAAAGGAAAAGGATTGATTGGCTGTATCTCCTTGCAGTTTAAGGGACTCTAAAGAGTCTTCTCCAACATCACAGTTCAAAAGCATCAGTTCTTCAGGGCTTAACCTTCTTCATAGTCCAACTCTCACATCCACACATGACTACTGGGAAAACCATAGCTTTGACTATACAGACCTTTGTCTCCACCTGGGAAGCCCCCCAAGAATAGCTACTCTGTTCAACTTTAGGCCTGACAATTCCTGAATTTACCAGAATGGATGCGGCTCCTTGAACTTGTCACAGTGAAGGAGTGGGTCTCACGACACTGTTGATATATGAGATGGTAAAACCCAAAGATGGGGGGAAAGTCTGGGTTTTGATGATATCAGTGAGCTGTGTAATTAATCAGCCTAGGAACTGGCCCCTTATTACTTGAGATACTAAATATTAACTTTCATTTAGGTCATGTCCGTGAGATATCTGTGGTTGAGCTAAATACTCAAGCAGAGGACTATTTAGACCTGCACACTCAGTCAGGTTCTGCTGTTTACTGGCCACGTGACTTGAAGCAGTCCACTTGCCCTCACTGGCTCTCTTTTTCTCGTGTCTGTAAACTAAGTATCTGACTCCAGACAATCTCTAAGCACTTGTGAGTTCTAAGATTTTAATCTCTTGAAGGTTAATTCAGCTAGTCTTCAGGAATTGAAGCACTAGGAACTTCCCTGTTTGTCTAGTGGTTAAGAATCCGCCTTGCAATGCATGGGACATGGGTTTGATCCTTGGTCAGGGAGCTATTGATAAGATCCCACATGCTGCCACAACTTCTGAGCTCACATGCTCTGGGTCTTGTGTGCAACTAGAGAGTCTGTACACTGCAACTAAAACACAAAGAGCTAAATAAATAATACAATTAATTAATTTATTTATAAAGAATAAGAAAAATACACGTTTTATTTAAAAAGAGTTAAAGCACTAGATTTTCCTAGCAGCAAACTTAATTTGGTAACAATAACTTGGAGGGAGCAGCTGGTATATGCTGGGCCTTTCAAAAAACCAGCTTCCTTAATCTAGCACAGTAACCCTACCAGATACTATTGCCCCATTTTACTGATAATATAGCCAA